ACCGAAGCATCATTGTCAATGTAACAAAGCAATATTTTATACAAATGCTTATATTTTTAACAGAACCTATAATTATCGAAATACTGAATTTCTCTCTGGCAGACCTGTAATATATAAATCTTTCTCTCTCTCTCTCTTAGTTCCTAGTGGAACATACGGCTACAACAACACTTCGCCGACGGAAATGTGTGTGCAATTTCTGTAGCAGTTTTGTTTTTACTGCTAGCCCCGCGTCCAACCCTCCTCCTTTCTCATCCTGGACTTGGGGACCAGGCAATGGTGGTGGCATCCCTGCCGGGGAACGAACCCGGTACCTTTGGATTAGAAATCCAACGCGCTATCCACTGCGTTATTTATTTTATTGTCAAATCGAATTGTGACAAATAGTTGTTGTTGTTGTTTATTAAGCACAAAGCTACACAAAGGGCTATCTGTGCTCTGCCCACCACGGGTATCGAATCCCGGTTTCTAGCAGTGTAAGTCCGCAGACATACCGCTGTGCCACTAGGTGGGGGGGTTGTGACAAGTAAAAAATTTCCTTAACGCTGTCAGCCTTCCATATTACTTATAATTTAAACTATTTTGCAAATATTCATCATTCATCAATATTTTGTTACTTTAAAAAAAATGGATTTAAATTCTTCATGATTAATAAACAATGTTTTTTTTTTCAATATAAGAAATATGAATAAACAAAGTTTCAACATTTCCGTATGGAGAAAAAGTATTAAAAATATGTAGACAAATATAACTGGAAATATTACTGGAAATGTTGTAGGACAAACTGATGGAATATGATAAGCAATTGTAAAGTAAAACTGCTCCAAGTCTATTTGTAGATTCGACATTTTCTTGTAAGAGCAAAAAAAAGTTACTGTTAGTAGAGTAAAAATGAAAGTTATTCATCAAGTTAATAAAAAAGATTTCCAAATAAAATCTGTTCCCCTTTTATAATTTAAAACGTTAGGCGATGTATATTTTATCGTTACACATTTAAGACGTCAAATTATATACCTTCTTCAGCATTCCGTGAATTTCCGAAACATTGAATCACATGTTTATTATTTGAATTACATCTAAACACTTCTACGTTTAATCACAATTACACTAAAACCACCAAGACTTGTGGTTAAAACTATTTGATACTTAAGAGTATTTAAAAAAATAAAATAAAAGAAAACGTTGTCTAAAAAACGTATTACATATTATATTCGAAGAACATAGTGAACCATAGACTAAACTTTTAGAAAATGTAACAACACTAGTTACAACATAACTGTTATTATCAAGAGAACTTTTAGCAAGAGTTTATTGTAAACATGAGAAGAAATCATAAGTATTTTAGTCTTTTTCATTCATGGAATGTACATAAACCAGGCTATTGCAAGTTAGATATTAAATAATATTAACAAAACTCTTAAATGCTCTCCTCATTCAGTATTCTCAAACATTTCACATTTTATTAAAGTTAGTAAATATCGAAATCTATATATATATATATATAAACAGAATCCAGTCATTAATGCTCTTACTTATCTTTTTCAATGATTGTTTTTGCTGCTTGTTTATTTTACAATTTACGTTCAAAGCTACGAAAAGGCTACATGTGCATATCGTCCCCAACTTTGAATTTGTACACAATAGGGAATGCAGCTGGTAAACAACGCCCACTGCCAACTTTTGTTTGACTGGATAGTAAAATATGACCCTCACTTGTAAAGCGAATCCATGGGCTAAAGTGAGAAGCACGTTTTAACGGCAACGAGGCTAGAACCATAAACCCTAAGATTCATAGTCTGGGCATGTTAACTACTGAGCCACACCCTATTCAATTTCATTGGTGTATATGTTAATTTTATGGTAATTTTTCCATATTACTTAGTGCATTTTTTTTTTCTAGGCCACTTTTTTCCTTTGTTGGAACAGATTTAGAAGAGGCACATTGAAAGAACCTCAGACCATTAAAACATTTTAAAACAAAAGTCAAGTTAACCTTCTTCTTTATTCATTATCTAAATAATGTCAACTTCATGTACTTATTAAGAATCTCACAGTCACCCGAAGACGATTAATATATTTTACTTGATAATCACCTGATGATTTAACTCACTCAGAAAGAATAGGATCGTCTCTTCTGTTAGTAGAAAAATATTCCTTCTAGGTTTATATATATAACGAGAAATCGCTAGTTTTGTTTTTATCGAAATAATTTAGAACATTTGTTTTGAAAACGAGTCAAAAATGGCATCCCAGTGTTTTATTATGCAAAACGAATTAAAGACACCATTAAAAAACCAAGTTAATGCTTGGAGTAGGTCGCTGATTTCAGCTGAACGACTTTGTTTGCAGTTATAAGTATAGTGTCGCTCTTTCCAGAAATGAATTTTGTCGTCTACGTCGCTAAACACAAAAGTAAAGTACTTGAATTAAAGTATTGATCCATGGCATCTGGTTTAAATAGTTCCGCGGACTTTCTCAAGAACTTCTTTGTAGTAAATTTGTCTTGTATGCCTATAAATGTTAACATAGTGACACACTGGGAGATACACAAGAGAATAATCTAGAGTAAGATATACTCTCACCCCCTTTGTTCTCTGTTTCACTATCAAGGGCTTTTAATAGAAACCCTAAGCTTTTGTTCAAAAACGTGTTGACAGGATATCCACGTCATTGTTTTACTTACGTCACATTACCTAGAGTTGATTTGTTATGCATTTCTTTTCTGAGTTGGTGTAGCTGGAGACAAGTGTATAAGTCGGGTAAATGTTTAAGCTAAAGTGACATTATCTATGTTTCCTTTCTATGCTATAATTCTGATGCTTAATTTTACTTTACTGTGCATTTTTTAATTCTTTCACTGTGGTGAAGGATCTTATTATACTAGGAATACTAATATCTATATGTATACCTTACAAAGTAGTGATTGTTTCCCACAAATTTGTTTTAATAATATTAATCGTTCCTTCTTGTTATAATATTTAACAGTTTGGATATAAATAAAAATCACATTGCTCTTATTTCTCGTAACATCACGTTACTGGTTTGGTTCTTCTTAAACGCAACGCTACACACTGGGCTATCTGTGCTTTGCCCACAACGAGTATCGAAACCCAGTTTTTAGCGTCGTAACCCTAAGAACTTACCACTGGGGTGAGGGAGGCAATCAGGTTACTGAATGTGATTAATTAACTTCAAAATGCAGATTGAAATACTGCGTGAATATCAAAATCTAGTAAGCAATTGTCTCTTCGTGGGTCAGCGGTAAGTTTACGAAGTTAAAACGCTAAAATTGGGGGTTCGATTCTCCGCAGTGAACAGAGCGTAGATAACCCTTTGTGTAACCTTGCGCTACAACAACGTTAAGCAATAATATTACCAAAAACAATTACATACTCCAACCATACTTTAATGTAACCGCATGGTGCTGTTTCTTCAAATAAATTTACTGCTGACCCACCGAGGAAACCTAATTAAAGATAGTTGTTTGCTATAATACACTATTATTGTTTTTTCATATCACTTTAAGTTGTCATCATTGAAATTAAAAATTTTATGGCCAATCATAGAGAATAATGGGGTTATTCAACAATGTTCAAAAATAACATGATCCTCAAATAGAGTGATGATAATCTCAACACCATGAGCCTCAGGAAGACCGGTGATACGTTAAAAGCCACGATCCTCGGATAAATTTAAAATAACATTAAATCCATGATCCTCAGACTAGAATGTCTATAAATTACAGCCATGATCCTTAGATAAACTGGTGATAACATTCATTAACACCATGCTCCTCAGATAGACTGATTGTGACTTAACACCCATGATCCTCAGCTAGATTGACGGTGAGCTCAACAAATAAGGTTCTTGGGTAAACTGATGATGATTTAACAGCCATAATCCTCAGGTGAAGTGACAAGCATTAAAGACCAAATCATCAGTTAGCCGTAATAAATAACGTTAACAGACAGAATTTTCAGGTAAAAAGTGAAAAAATGAACAGAAATATTCCTTTAGATGATAAAAAATGAATATTCAAGAAGATAACTGCCTACGTTAAAAAACAAGGCAGTCAGGTAGATTAATTAGAGCAATGGCAAGTCCAGTTCTCAGAAATTTGATGACAATGATAATAGACGAGGATTTTTTAGAGGCTGACGTTAACTTTAACAGACATATATCTTATAGAGCTTGATAATTAAATTAACAATCAGGGATATAACAGAGATTCGGGGGGTGTGGAAGAAGCTTCTGTAAGAATGAAAACAGTGCTAAGAGCTGATTGCATAAGATAAATGATGGTCAATGGTATCAGTGTAACCAAATATCGCTTTTATAACAGCATCATTATATTTTTCAGTGGGTCTAAACAGTAATCAGTCTGTTTAATTATAAATTTGGTCAACTCGATTTATCTATCAACACCGTGTTTTTCTTATTTTTCCAAATAAAGTATATATGTTTCTTATCTTATGTGTCACATGATGTTTCGTGTATTAAAATGAATATGTTTATTGCTCAAAATAAAATGTATTCGTTATCTTCTCTCAAATATCACGAGTTTCTTCTGTTTAAAGATCACATTTTTTATATTTTTAAATAAAATACGTTTTTATCTTTTACGTTAATATTTTTATTTGAAGCTGAAAGGTGACTTTTTCTCAGATATTTTTTAAAATGATTTTTGTAGTGTTCATCCTGCAAATCGTGGAGAGTCAACAACAATACGTTATTATATATTTTTTGTGCTTTTCTGTCAAAAGATTGTTCTTTGAATCACTTTTTTTTGTTTTTAGGAATTATCTTGTTCCTCTTTATATATATATATATATATATCAGAAATGTATTATCCAGTCTTATTTGCAGCTCTTTATCCACAGATTAATTTATTTTTACACTGATAATTTAATCAGTAAAGTTTCTACTCGCCTTTATACAAACTACTCTTTATTTACCCCAACAAATTCTTTAATGTCGTTTGTATTTTTTCTTGTGGATAGGTTACGGTCACTCCACTCCAGCCACGTGGGGCGGGAAGACATTCTGCATGTTCTACGCCTTGGCGGGAATTCCATTAGGCCTAGTGATGTTTCAGAGTATAGGTGAGCGGCTTAACACTTTCGTGGCCTATCTTCTGAAGACAGGTAAACGGTGTCTGAGGATGAAGAATGTGGAGGTCACGGAGACGAACCTCATCTGTTCAGTGTCAATTCTGTCTACGTTAGTGATGACCACAGGGGCTGCAGCCTTTTCCTGCTATGAACACTGGAACTACTTCGATGCTTTTTACTACTGTTTTATCACACTAACGACGATAGGCTTCGGTGATTACGTGGCTCTACAAAAAGAGAGCGCCCTTCAAAGCAAACCTGAGTATGTGGCCTTTAGTTTAGTATTTATACTCTTTGGCCTGTCCGTTGTATCTGCTGCCATGAATCTCTTGGTGCTGCGTTTCCTCACAATGAACACCGAGGACGAGCGTAGAGATGAGGCCGAGGCCCAATCGGCAGCGCAAGAGGCCGTTCATGTCGAGGGCGACGTCATCACGGCTAATGGAAGTATCATTTCCGGTCATGGGCCTGATGCTTCAGATTCTGATGACATCACTTCCGTATGTTCATGCACATGCTACTCACAAAAACGGACACCCAGGCATAGACATTCCTTGAGGTCGCCTAATAGTGTAAAACATTTTAATATTTTTCCCATGCAAGTTTTCCATGGTTCAGATACGAGAGATGATGTCTTCAACTCTTTAAGTGTTGACGTAGATGGTAGTATTTTTTATTCACTAGAAGAATATAACCAAAAACGAGCTTCCATCTGACAAAGGGAAACTTAGCATATCATAATTTGAAGTGAATTTAATTTATCGAAGAACGATTTCTGTTCCTCAAGACGACAGACGTCAATGTTCTAAAAATCACTTCTGTGAATTTTGATTACTAGAGTATCAGTTTTGTAATTGAAAATTAAAGTACTACGATAATAATGAATTTATCTGTTGATGTTTTTGAATTACTATAATTATAACAGACTTGTATTTATTCAGTTCTTTAACAATACCTTACCATTTGTATATAAAACAATTCTAATCTTGTATTCGGACTCTGATTGTTTCAACGGTATCTTATCTTCGACAACAGCAAAAGCTGCTGACAAATAAAACATTTTTGTTCTCATGCTCTAAATACATAACTGAGTATTCTGTTAATGTTTCAAAAATGTGAATTCTTAATTATTTTCTAGATTTTTCTTTAGATTGAAATGTTAATGAATTCGAATTTAAGTTATATTTCGTGAGGTTTAAACCA